ATTTTGATTCGGGTTAGTGACTGGCTATTCTTCATTTTGAATTGTGATCTAAACAACCTAAAATAAATAAAGCGATTACCTCTCGATAAAAAAAAATAAAGATAAGATGGTTCAGATTTTAATGTCATCTTTTGCACCATTTGTCGGTAGAGGATAAATGAATGGATGATAGTAAAGATATCATAACATAATGAATTCTATCTCAAAATATCGCTAAGCTTCTGCTCTGCTACTAATTTGCATTATTGAAAAATAGCTGCGAATAACGAATGGCTTTATAGGTAATTAATTTTAATTGCATGTATATCATATAGCATTTCTTACACATTTTTTATATTGTTGGAACTTTATACCGAACATTCTTTTTACTATATCATTCAGTATTTGAAACAAATCAGGTTTCAAAAAAAAAAAAAAAAAAAGGAAATTAAGAAAAAAAAAACAATATGGAATTGGCCGATCTTTTTTGGATTGCTATTCTGTTCCTATGATTTTTGAGCAAGCTATTAAGGAGGCCATCATATTTCCCTTTCATACGTTCAGCGAATTAAGGATTTGTAAATGAAAAGAGAAGTGCTCTCATTTTTCGAAGCTGATTCTTATCTGAAATGACCTTTCGAGCGATGGTCTAATATTTGGCTATTTTTATGAGAATTATCGCAATAACTTTTTTAAAGTTTTCCATTGGTTTAGAAAACTAATCGCTGTCGTCTGATTCAGCCATGTCTATTATAGGAAAATAACCGAAGTTGTTTAAAGCACTTCGACTTTTTACTTTTGGGAAGCACTTCTTCATTAAACTTCGTACTTTTAAAGCATGCAAATGTGCATAATCGATTGGCTGAGGCTGAAAAACAAAATGATTATCGTTCAATCTTTTTTGTAACATTAGTCTTTGTTATTTGTAGATTAAAATGACAAGAAAGAATCTTCAATCTTCCAAAATGATATACGTAAAAGGGAATGAAAATTTGAACATTTTATGAGTAAATTAGTACTGATATTAATGAAAATATTTAAAAACTATAAAATAAATTAAAAACGAACATCTACTATTTTATGTATTCTTGTCATATGAGTTTTGATATTATTCTTTGAATAATTTGAGCTTTTATTGCATTTTGTACAGAAATATATTGGTATCTTCAGATGGGCCATTCGTACATGACAAGGTAACTTCGAACTATGCACTTCTTTTTTGCATAAGTCACAAATCTGAAATAAAAATGAATTTTCAAATAAATTTGACTAAGAAAGAATTTTCTTTTTTGTTACTAAAACAATTTAGTACAATTAAGAATCAGTTTTTGATTAATGAAACAAAAGTTTATTTAAGTAGTAGGAATAGAAAATATTAAGTTAATTGTAACAAAAACTTATTCGTCAATTTTAATTTTCTTTGTCTTTTCCGTTATAAGCTTTGTAAGCAAACCAAATTCATAAATAATATGCCGACGTCATTCTACTTTCTTAACCTTTCTTGAATATTTTCCTCAAATTTAGCTAAAATATGAAATGAATTCGACGATTCATTTGTCCAAGCTTATAATTATAATCGATTCTATTGAATAAATTTCGAAAATTTAAGGAACTTCACTTACGTGGATGCTTCTAGGCCTTTTTTGTTGTTGCTCATTAAATTGTTGGGATAATGCCCTTATTTCTTGTGCGATAACTTGCTGCAATATTTGCTGACGTAGTTTTCTTTGTTCGTTTATTAATTTCTGAACCAACGCAAAGAATTGCAAAAAAAAAGTAATAATTTGATTAGAAGAGGTGCACAAGTTGACTGTCTGCGTAGTATTTGACAGTAAATCAGCGTTGTTTCCTGTTGAAGCATTAGAACCGGATCCGCATGGATCAATGTTGTCATTGGTTGTAGTTCTTGAAACAATGTATTCCTTTTGGAAGTTTTTGGAATTGTCAGTGATTGTAGTTTTTTTAGACGAGAATATATCATTTCCTGTTGAAACATTAGAACCGGATCCGCATGGATCAGTGTTGCTATTGGTTCCTGTTTGAAACGACAATGCATTGTTTCTTGTTGAAGCATTAGAATTGAATCCATAAAAGTAAATGCCACTATTAGTTGCAGTTCCAAATGAGACGACGATATTATTAGTTGTTGCTTGAGACGAGTTATTCTGAAAGTTCTCTGGTGGTATCTTCACTCGCTTCTTACTCATCACAGCGATTATTCAAATTATCACTTTGCAAATAGAGCTGATTTTGACGTATCAGTTGTTATAGGAAATAATAGAGAAGCCTAAAAGCTTGAAACGATTAATTTTAACTATTTCAAATTCATTTTCAATTATATCACATATCAATCACATAACGATATCATCACATAATTATCTCCTACATTCTAATGAGCAATAAACGATACGTTGTTATCACATCAATAGTGTTGAATACAACATTTATCATTTACTATCGACTTGTATAACAGTAACATATTATGGATATTAAAAATGGGGCTGTATATGCAATATTATCGATTTCAAATAATAATGGTTGTTCCCGTTAATTCATTATTAATAATTTTAGATAATTTTACCTGTCTACAAAAAACTGTTGTCAATCAAACTTTTATCAGGTTTTTGAATGTCGTATATTCGTATGTCTGAACTACGATGATTTTCATGTTAAGTTTAATCATAAAATAAATAAGATTGATTTAATGCTACTTAGAAATTGGCTATTTAATTCGAGTATAGTTTAAAAATAGTTAATATTAATGAACAAAATATATGGCAAAAAGTTAAAATGCAAAATACTTGAACATTTTCAAATTGATCATTAGAATACGAGTTCTTGTCTTATGTTAGCTATAAAAGTCCTGCATAAATCCATTTAGTTGAATAGAAAAATAACATATATCACTAATAAAATATTGAACAAATCATTTCTCTCTATTTTTACCCAAATGATAATTAATGATTCAATCTGCTTTTTAACTTTTGTCATCTTTTCATCACACAATTTAATGATGAAGCTTGCTGATCTTCTGATCATTCTTTGATTAGAAAGCTTTGAAAGAGTATCGATCGAGCTGACAAAATCGATTGAATCAGTCGAAATCATCATCCCTCGATCCATTTCTGAGTTCAGAGCTTCCCAACTCTATTCTCTGAATGCAAGATGAATGATTTCAGTCATTGGAATTTTGCTTCCGTTTGTGATCCAATGATCCATTTTAAACACTCATATAACTTTACTAATTAAACGAAACTTTTATTGTCACATAATAATACATGTGACACGTAAGGCCTAGATGACACTCTGAGACATTTTAAAAAGTCATTAAATAGGTTAAGCCTTTTACGATACAATGGGAACATTAATGCATCATTTTTAACTAATTCATATTTTAGTTTGCTTTAAACATTTCCAAAATCTTTTAGCTCTGTATACTTTTGTCGTACTTGTACTAATCATTTAATGAACGAGTAGTATTACATCATTGCAAAACACCGAGTTACTCCAAATAAAGGGTATGAAATTGAATTAATAAATGTGAAGCAAATATCAGACTCATATATTAAGTCAGTAATAGTTAACGTAAAGATTTAATCTAATATACTAACTTAACAATTAACGAGAAGTGATGTCTAATGCATCAAATATACTAAGCTAATAATAGCTAACGTGAAACGATATTCAACTCAATATACTAAGTCAATAATACGAAGCGATCTTAGCATCTGAGATTCAACCTATACTAATCAATGACAGTATATATCAGATTAGTCTACGGGAAATGACAATCAAAATATTATATTTAACCTGAATTTGGTCCATACTCTTACCACTGCTTATTCCAGTCTCAGTTGTTGTTTTGATAGTGTTATCTTAACCACAAAGAAAGAAAAAAATTAGTGGAAAGTTCCTTCAATTTGCTACCATGCCTGCATTGTTTCTTCGAATTCCGACCCATTCAATCTCAATTCTGATACCATACATTTTAAACTTAACCTTACTACTAGCACTAACCGTACCAAACAACTTTTGATAAGCAGTTCGTGCTAATGCCCTGTAACATAAGCACTTCATTAATGGCAGTCTTTTAATCCACTGATTGTTTCATAGATCTACTGTAGTGGATTAAATGAACTATAATAGTAATTGATTGATTATAAAATCAATATTAACGAAATAAATGTAACTAATTTTCAAATATGATCGGTTTAATAAACTAAAAAAAAAAAATCAATCGTTGAAATGTCAATCAAAACGTGTAGGTGTATGTGTACGTGTGTACGTGCGTGTGTGTGGTTATAAAAACCTACTAAAATAGGTGAGAATGAGAAAACAAACTGATTTATCAAGACATAAAATGAACAATAGTCGGTAACGATGCAGAAAGTAGAAATTATAACTAAAAATATTTTTCACACAATAACAGTTTAGATGTTGCACTAAAAGCAATGATAATTGTGATAGAATAATCAATGCCACAGTCAAGTGATATGATAAATTTCCTACTGAAAGTGCTTGAAATTGAGAAAAATTTCTTTTCACTGTTATTCTTTGAGGTAAGTATAAGACGAAATCAAAACATGCATAATGGTAATAATAGTAATATTAATAATAAGTAATAATAATAATACAAGAAGTAAATGAAATTATATCCTCCAAAAAAAAAAAAAAAAAAAAAATTAAATGTCAAGGGTTGCACTTAGTTTAGGAATGATAGAATGAATTTCTCGAAACCGAAAAATATGGCAATAACATGAATCAAATATAATCCGTTTTATAGCATATAGTGACTCCACTATTTTGCGAACATGCATTAATAAAACATCATACTTTTCTTACAAAGAAAAAAAGTTTGAATTGACCAAAATATATATATATTATCATCGCTATTGTAAAATTACTTATGAGTGTGAAGTGGAAATACTTTCCATAATTATAAGCGAAACTGATAACCTTGAAGCAATGTGTATTACATTTGTTTTGTAAAATTATATTATGAGACATCTTAATTCAAAGATTCAAATGGTGCTGGTCATTGAGATACCATGTAGATGTACATCAATCCAGGCCCGTTGAAGCTGACGATAGAAAGTAGCAATACTGGCGAAAAATGTTTCCGGAATCTCGGGACCAATATCTTCATCTACCAATTCGCCAAAGAAACGCATCGTTTTGCAGAGGCCAGTCTGCAATATCATACTTATACTTCTTTAATATCTTATTTTGAATAAAAAACGAAAGATAAAACGAAAAGTAAAAGAACGAGAACCTTGCATTCACGATAGCTACTCTTCACTTCCATTACTTTATTTCTAATTGCTTCTCTATATCCAGCCATTTGGGCATTATTATTTAAACGGCTCGCTTCTAGATCAAATCGCAAATAGTCCCGTTCGAAGCGTCGTACTGTTGCAGAAAGTTCTTGGAAGTTCACTGATCACAAAACCAAAAATGATTTTTAGGTTGAAATAATATTAGCTCTTTTTGAAAAGAAAATTCATTGCATTTTTCATTGCTTCCATTTCCATAATTTATGATCGATCTTATTCAAATCTTTTAAAAATATAAACTTCTTAAAAATTCTGATAATGTCGTATATTCAGGAAAAAACCATCAAACAGTCCTCAAAATTGAATGATCAGATTAAATTATACTAAGAGCCAATTAATTATAAAAGATCTTATGCAATTATAAAAAAATCATATGTGATTACGATTGTTGATATAATTATTATGCAATTAAACTGATAAGTGAAAGAATGGTTGCATGTTATATCAACAACCTTAACCGATTAGTCATAAATATAAAGCTGGTGAATAACCTCGTGATGCTTTCTCTAGTGCCGGAAGAGTATCACGAAAGACGCAAACTTCAGGAAATTCCGAAATAGTAGACGATGCTACAATATTTAGCAATGTTGTTTTTGGTGAGTTACATACTTCAGTGGCACATATCTGCAAAATAGTTGTACTAAAAATATCAATGTGAAATTAATATTTTACAATTTAAAAACAGAGAAGAATATTACCAAGACTACTCAAAGAATTTACTGTAATAATAAAAAAATCACTTTTGTAAGATCTGATGCCTTAAAGCCTCGAATTGTTCTAGCCGTAAAATCTCCAATGATAAAATTCATGAAGACAAGAACAACACGTAACAAAGCACGAAACCCACGATTTTTCTTCAAAGTCTTCATAATATTCGTGAGATCTTCAAAACTCTAAAACGAGTAAATCAATATAGGTAAAACTGAAGTAATCTTTTTTTATCAATGAATTATATGAAAAGAAATTATAGAAATGATTTATAAACTAGAAATTTGTAATTCTTCCAATGATTTTTACAAGCAGATAATAACTTGTTTTTCTTCTTCTTAGCGTACACTGAAGATGTGTAGTGATATTTAATTAAGGAATGTTTGAGTTTGCGTTATTTCAAAGTAAAAAAAGAAGGTCTAACTTTCAGGATCTCCGTGACACGACTGTTAATATGTCCCATAAATGACATCGCATGCAGCTTTTCTTCTATCCGATCGATTTTTGCAAGCTGAATTTGTTAAGATTGTCAAGATATATGGAGAAATTTAGAACTCAATTCTCTTGCCATCAGAGCTTAACCATGTTTTCCGAAGAATCCAACAAAATCTTCTAGGTACTATATTTAATATCTCATAGCACTCAAATATTTGCCTGACAACTGCCAACTCCTATGTATGATTGGAATAGGAATTTTTTTTAGCCTTCCGTACTAATTAATTAACTCGTCTCAATGTTGACTTTTCTCTTTTTTTTAATACACTCTAACCTTTAATAGAAATTGTTCATTTTCCCCAACTACCGCAGTAGGATTAGCACTTTCACAATCCAACAAATAGAACACATCCATTGAAGTTGGTGCAATATTTGCAATTAAATCAACCTGCTCTATCGGTAAGGTATTCAGATCCAAGCTAAATGATATAAACTTCCTGAGATGTTGTTACATGTATAGTAAGATGGGCTAGGAGATAGAAAAGAAAACAAAGCCTTCCTTCTATAATACTATCATTAATCGAGGAATATTATTGTCCAGCTGACTTCCTCTTCTTCTTTCCTCCTATCAAAAAGTAACGGAGTAAATGACCACATATTATCTATTATATGGTTTTCACAATCAGAAAGAAAATTTAATTATTTAAATATTAATGGAATCTGTCGAACAGATACATACAACAATTGCATCAATCATTACACTCAAAAATGATTAAAAAAGATGTTTAATTATTTGAATAAAATCCAAATTAACAAAAATTATGTCTTACTTGTAAAGTGCATCACGAAGTTTTGTCAAATCAACAGATAGTTGTTGCCTAACCTTCTGCACCTGTCTGAGTTGTTCTTCTGTTATAAAAAATTTACCATCTAACTTGCATGGTTGTCGTTGAAATTTCTAAAATGATTGCATTGTAATTCGATACCAACTAAGTTATAATGAATTCGAAATTGTATGAATGTAACAGAAGAACAAGAGAGAAGAATTATCCACATACCAAGTAAATGGATAATTCTTCATACCCCGCACTTAAACACATTCAACAATCTATGCATTACTTTCTCTAATATCTTCTAGAAATTGAAGTATATAAGCCACTTCCATAACATACCAATTCCATATCATGATTAACATGCTTAGAAGGAGGAATAAATGTAAATAGCTTACGTGAAGTACTTCATTTAGTCGAAAACTTTCAAAAACAGTCCCTTTGAGTTGGTCATTAGTCAGGATCCACCAGTTGACATTTTGTGGAAGATAGCTGAACAAAGTTATTAAATATTCAACAAAAAGACAACTTTAAAAAAGTTGAAAACTCATATATTCAATGTTTGAAACTCTAATTCTCAAAAACTCATTGTTTTAATCCTATGAATGAGTAATGACTTGAACACACCGAGGATGAATATGATCGATATGTCCAAATGGTTGTTCTTCCTCATCAAAATCTTGAATACTCGAATCATTTGATTCTGTCTCTGCAACATTGTTTTTTTATGAAATTTTGTAAAATATCAATTGAAATCAAAAATACCACACCAATAAAGTTTACGACTTTATTTAGTTGTCAATAATATTAATATTGCCATTAATATCAATAATACTTTGTTAAATATATGGATAATCCTTCATATCCCTCACTTAAACACATTCAACAATCTATGCAATATCTTTCCTAATGTCATTCTGGAAATTGAAGTATATGAATCACTTTCATAACATACCCAATTCCGCATCATGATTAACATGCTCTGATGAACTTGGTGAACTTTCATTTGCAATTGTTTCACTATGATCAGCTTCATTTTGATAGTTAGTCAATGTGCACTTATCACTGTAGCCATTAGTTCCACTATGATAACCATAATAACTGTTAGTTTTATTACTGCAACTGATATTTTTATTGTAAGAGCCTTTGATACTATTATGTGGAACATTGCTAGTGCTGGATGAATCCTCCTGAAAAAAGAAACTTATCATTGTTTAACTCAAAATATTACTCTCCAAAAGTTTTTTTTTTTTATAATTCTCATTAATTATAGATTAATATCGATCCCAGATACGTGCTCCTCTCTCTCTTTCTTTCTTAGCACTGATGAAGTGACCAATCACAGAAAGACAAAAAGTCAATGACCAACAAATAACCGCACTGAGCGACAGAATCCATTGCTAAGCTAACACCATAAGCTGACAACGTACATAGCGAAGATACTACTGGAAGTAACCAGTAGTATCTTCGGAAGTAGACGTTAAGAAGGACTGGATTACAGTAATCTTGATCCGTAATGAGAACATGTATAATGATGAAAAATTAAGCAAAGCAACCAGAACAGATTTAAAAAATAAGCTAGAATGGACCAAGAAAAGAAGTCTACGACTTTTAATACCAATGCAAAGTTCATAATCAAACGAAATTACTCGACCATAATTTTTAAAGTAACTCCATTTGGTTATTTTTAAAATATACCTCGCTTGGTGAACTTTGACCCGAAATATTAATAGGCGCTTGACCAATGGTTACTTCCGATTCGCTGCAAATAATTTTTCATCAAAGGGGAGAAAAAATAATCACATATTTTTATTCTTTTAAACTAACTTCTGATAAACATTTTCATTTTTAATCCGTTTATTGCTGATCGATGAATAATGGTCATGAGCAGTCATTTCATGTGCCGAATGTTTGATACTCCTGCGACGATAACTATGAGTATATCGAGTCTGCTGCAATATCTGATCTTACTTAATTTTCTTTTAGACAAGAACAAATAAATAAATCTATTTTATTATCTGAAGTATAGATAGATATAAGTTATACTTAAGTCTTCTATTTCTTTTAAAATTGAGAAAAAAAGAAAGAAAAAATATCAGAAGAATTACTGAGATTTTACTAGCTGATGCTACAGAGCTAATGCTATTCCATCTTGAGTTGTTACAAGATTCCGTATTAATTGTTGAGGATGAAGAAGCAGTTGATGGTCGAATATTACTGTGTACCGGACGACCACGACCACGAACAGTTGGAAAACATCGTTTCATTAACTGTTCCACTTCATCTGCATACTCTTCCATATGGCTAATTGGTTCTTCCTGAACGATTGAAAAAAGAAGAAAAAACAAACATTTTAAAAGTTATCATGAAAAAAGTGATTTAATGATAGTGAATTTATGTATGTCATATAAATAATTATGTAATAATAAAATTTTATGTATGTAGTAAATTTTAGCTTTAGAAATTATCTTAGTTTGCTAATAATGGTTATCACTAATCAATTGTAGTGTAAAATATTTTCGTATCACAGAACAAATGTTTCAGTGCAAAATAACATATACGTTTTCTATTGTGAAATAGTATAGACAACATTTTTTATTATATTTTAAAAATAATTTTAAAAATTGGCAACAAATTAAAACGATCATGCTTTACTACAAAATTGTTCTTAACAATCTTACCATATAATTGGGTATGTATAGACTATAAATACAACACAGCCGATAGATATATAAAGCTTAAGCGGAAAGATAGATCGATATTATAAAGGAAAGAGGTACAGCATTAACTATTCTGGTAAAAGTCATTGATGAAAATGAAAATGGAAACTTACAGTTAATCCATGTACTGTTGACATATGACTTTTGACATTGTTCTTTGAATAACTTGAGCTAAATTTGCATTGTGGACATATAAACATCGGTTGCGCCACATGATGTTGCCTTATGTGACATGGCAATTTCGAACTGTGTACTTCTCTCAAGCATAACTCACACCACTGAAAACTGCAGGGATAGCTCTGAAAAAATGTACGGCATTATGGACGACTATATGGAGAGCATAACAAACACTGTCTCTTATATAACCCTAAAAAAATGAAAATAAATAAAAATAAAAAACCAAATAAACAAATATCTAAATTACTAATTAAGGACAGGTCTGCTCTGCACGCTATATAGTCCTCATATTTGCCGATAACAAAATGATAATGTGAAAGATGAAAACTAATAGCTTTGTTAAATTATGAATATAGGAATGTGAATTTGTAAAAACGACTGAATAATTTGAAAGAATATGCATGGACAATAATGCAAGTTATATTTCATTATAAACAAAAATACAAGAGAAAAAGAGAATTAACAATTAAATTAACTGAGTAAAAAAATATAGTTCGAAATCAGTAATAGAACGATGAAAAATATGGTTAGTTATTGTCGATATTATCAATGACTTAATGTTCATACTACTGAAAGATAATTTTTAGAATATCTCAGTTACCAGAATTTTTTTCTAAAGATGAAATAAATACACGTCAATAACTAGTCCATTTTGCCTAAGAGCAAATAATCACGAATTATATCTTCTGCAATCTTTCTCCATCCCTAAAAAACATTTCATTTTTGTCTAAAATTTTACGTACACGCTTCTTTTCCTTCGAAGTGCGCTGATGTCGCTGCTGTTGCCGTTGTTGATGTTGTCGAGCGCTGGCTTCCACAGTTCGTTGCCTGAGATATTCAGTCAGAAGAGATGATGATGACTGCTGCTGGCTTTGTTGTGATTCGGTTAGCAAGTTAAGATTGAAAAGATTGTACAGGTTGACGTTACCGTACATCATCGATACATCCGGTATGGACAGTCCAAACGCAGCAGCAACGGAAGCTCCAGCTGCGGCATTAGTTGTTTGCGATTGGCCGCTAGTACCTGCTGCCGTTGTTGCTAATAAATTCTGCGTCAAGCAGTGAAACAATTCAGCATTCAAGCCATTAGGGCTTGTTGTTGATGTTGCAGAAATAGTACCACCAGCATCAGTTGAAGTATCGAGTTGTTGCTGCAATGCCATTTGCGCTTGCTGTTGTAAAGGTGACGATGACGATGGATTTTGCTGTGTCAGATCATTTGCTGCCATTTTATAATTATCAGTCCCAGAATTGCACCAATAATAGTTCTAATTAGTGATAAACAATGGAATGATTTAATCCAAAAACATTAAGAATAAAAACTTTATTTGTTGTGGCTAATTGATAACCACTATGATACCGACAGCAGAACCTGGAAGAAAATTACTAATTAAAAAAATAATTTTGCAAGTGATTATCATACAAATTAGACGCATAATCCGTAAATGAAAGACGTAATGTTTGTGAATGCTACACATGATAAAAATATTTTCAAAGATGCTTTGACATACATCATTTAAATATATTAAAGAATTGCAACCCATCATAATAAATTAATATGTGCTGCAATAATGTTTATCAAACTGATCTTTTGCCTATAGTGAAATGAATCAACATGCAAATGACCTCAATATACTGGTACAGGTAAAGGATTAAGTATGCGTATCACTAAGAAAACATGAAATAAAACGAGCAGTACGGCAATACTTATTGCTAGTTATAAATTAATTATATACCAAAACGGATAGATTTCTGTAAAAATCTCTTGAATGCCATATTTTATGAAATAATTCTAAAAGCAAGCGTCTTTGGACATTTACGACTGTCTCATCTTGAACAGTTGCACTTCACTTCCATTTGTATATTTTTTTAATGGAATACTTCAGTTTCCTTAATCCAATTCCTGATTATAAATCTCAAATATTTAAGTTATTCAAAAACTGAACTAAAATATTATCAACTTATCCAATTCTAAGTTATCCTAAAATTCTAAATTAAGCAGATTTATCAACTTATTCAAGTTGTATTTTATCATAAAATAGACGAATATGTGATAATGTTCATAACAATAAACAAAGAAACAAAACAAAAAAATAAAAGAAGCCTGTAAAAGAGGGAATGGAATAAAGTAGTATGGATGAAACGAAAAGGAAGAATGTCACATTAACAAAAACATCAAATAAAATAATTTAAGAGGAATTGATGACAATCAGTGATTGTTTGATTTTATTCTGATCGCAATAAACCAATAAGATGGTAGTAACAACGGCTTATCACTTAATCAAAAATCAGTCAAAATAACATTTACCATTACACTACTTCATACTTTCATTTCATCATCATTCCATCATTATTATCATTATTATTATTACCATTACTATTACTACTACTGTTATTAATATCACTATTGTTATTATTATTACCATTATCACTACCATTATTAACTATTATCACTATTATTATTGCTACCATCAATATTATTGTCATTATTATTATTGTTATTATTATTATTATTTATTTGTCATCTAATAAAGTACATGCAATAAAAACTATGAAAATGAGGAAATATTATGGAGAAAAATAAGATATGCTGATAAACAAGCTTATTATGTTATTGCTATTAAAAGTCAATTAATTCTAAAATCATTGATAAAAACTGTTTTGATAAACTGTTGTGAGTTTTACGAACTATGTACAAACTTTTACATCACTTATTATTCCTATCTATTCCACTCTTCCTCTCTCCCTCTCGCTTTCTGTTTATAACAATATATTACCTGATTTATTATTATCATTTCTTCAACAATTTTAAACTGATAAGCAATGATGAAAGGTACTGCGGAGAACTTAGCAGAATTCCTTTCAAAACAGAATCATAACCAAAAATAAATATTAATCACATTATCAATCGTTCAATTATCACTTTTTCTGGCTATCTGTTTTTGGTCAATTATATATTTGCTCCCATGTGATTTTATAATCAGAAACATAAATTACCGGGAATGAATTCCACTCTACTGTGCGATAAAATTTGTTAGCCGTTGAAATGAGAAAGTTTCAGGAAATGAAAAAAGATTTAGAACATCAATGATATAGCACTTTTCCAAATTATAAGATAAATATATAGAAATGAAATATAATGATAATTAGCTATATTCAGTTCCCCGATAAATCAATACCGATCATTTTGAACAGTGCATAAAATTCTTGGAAATTTTAGCATCAAGAAATGAGAAATGAAATTTGTTCGAAATATATTCTACAGTCTACAATCGACCTATGACTATTGATCATTTTTACTGACATATGCAAAAAAAGAATCCTAAAAATCTGAGATAATTTTGTTATCATACGCTGTTTCACTATATTTAGTAAGATAACATTTTCTTTTTCAAAATTTCATCCAATGCTTTTCTGTTCTATTTTCCTCTCAAATATCACTTAATGGTATATATTAGAAACAAATATAAAAATTCAACTGGAAGAAAAAATTACAGAATAATAACTTAGACTTGCTGTTACGGCATCTATGCAAATAAACAAGTGTGCGCGCGCATAAATAACACCTGCTTTAAGATATGTGCTTACGCTTCTTTGCTTTACTGAACAGTAGTAAGTAAATTGCTAACAGAAGTAGAGATAACCAAAGTTTAATACTTTCCATTTAATTTACAATTTTATCCTATTAGCTAGGAAATTTACAAAGAAAAAATCGCAAAAACAAAATGATATCTGATAAGATTATCTTGAATAAGTTTCATCAATCATAATGAACTCAATGAAATATTTTATTGCACAACGAACAGAAGGTATTCTTTCCGTGTAAAGCATATTTTTAGCAATATAGGCGCATTATAAAAAGTTTTGTTTGCAAAGAGCTGTTAGCAGTCAATAGCAAAATATATATGAAATGTAAATTTAAAGGTATTTGAGAAGAGAAAAAGAAGAAATGAAAATGTCACAAAAATATAGCAATTTGCTCCAATAATAGGAACAAAAATGAGAAGCTATTTTGGAAGATGTTTCAAAAGAACGCACAACAAACTAAAAGAGGAAGCTTAAGCGCTTAGATATTAGTTTCCGAAACTCATAAATGTCCCATTGTCCCATCTTTTTTCGTTTTTTTTTTTTTAGAGAGAGAGGGCGGGGAAGTTAAAGGCGGCAAAAATTGTTAACTGATGTAAAGCTGAGGATTGTTTAACGAAGTAACATTTTTTTGGTCATTTTTCTTACCGGAAATGAATTAAAGAAAACGAGAAAAATTGTCTTTTTTAAAAGCAAAATTTTTGTCACATAAAATATTAGAAATAGAAATAAAAAAGATAAGAAAAGTATAGGAAGTCATTAAATTATTAAATCACTTACTTTAATTGTACTAAAATGAGCATAAATTTTTACCTCTCTCCCTCTCTGCTTATTTAATGTAAAGAAACTTAGATGAAAATTCAAAAACAAGCATAAATTCGTATTTGACTTATCTTTCCTTTCAGTTTGATATTTTAAGCTTTCCTCACAGCATTAACGCAACCTATATTAATACCTGTTAAGTTTAAAATCATGCAATGCTATATAACTTAGCCATATGTATGATGTAAGTATGAGGAAACCTAAATTTAAGCTTTGTCGAGTAGATAAGCATATGGTACGATTAGGATTATTTAATAACAAAACAGAATAGTTAGTGCCTAAATGTATTTTGTGAGCAACACCATATCACACCACTATAAACATTAAAAAAAACCGGCTTTTTACTCTCAGAGTGTTCGTTCATCTGTCTTATTGCTCCCGTTCCAGCCCCCGCCTCACCCCGCCCTTCTCCCTCTCCTATATTTGAGGTAAGATATACATATATAATGCTGATGGTGATGATGATGACAAACAGGTGGACCAAACATGAATTCCTTCTTTTTAGCTGAAAAATAAACTAAACTACTTTTCACTATAATCTTATTGCTCTCTATCCCGCTCCAGTAAACTCGATAAATACCCTACTACTACCATTACGCTACCAACGCTACTGCTATTACTAATATACTTTTATAACCAACCATTAATTAAGGTCAAAGTTCGTGCACGTAAAAACCTTCATTCTAATAAATATTACCAACGCCATGAATTTTTAATGATAATACGAAAGCTGTTTAAATTTTGAAAAAGCTAAGCCAAACAATTAAAGGCAAAATTTTTTACTGAATTTCCTGTTAGAAAGAAACAAAAACAAAGAAAAAAAATAAAAAATGTTTGGGAATGATAAAACAATTATCGTCCTTTGTTAAAGATAAAATTACTAATCAAAACCACAAACTTTACCACTATTCTTTTATCGATAATTTGTTAAATGAATTAAATATTATCAGAGATGTGATAAGATTCTCTAAATATATCGATGCTGCTAAAAACACCGATGATCCTTTGTCTTAATCTTTTTTCATTCATTTAAATTTTTTTGCAAATTACGTATTTCCGCTTAAAAAAAATAATATGAAAGGTTAATCAGGAAGAAAAAGAGAGGGAGAGAGAGAGAGAAAATAAACCAACAATAATGGGAAGGCTAAAAAGAATGATAAATGTGGAAAAGTTATAAGTAAGAAAAAAATGTAGAAGATAATTTCAACGATAATTGAAAAAGCATTTGATTTGAAAAAGGAAATAAGCCGTTAACGAAGATCATCCCTTCATATTCCCTCCTTCATTTCTTTCTTCGATTCTTCCATCCAAAATTGCTAAAGGAGAATGTGCAGTGAGGAAAGAGGACGGCGGAAGCGGAATGAGCTACAAAATTTCCTGAAAAAGAAAATAGCAATGACAAGAAAGAGGAAAAGAAAGAGATACGAACACGATAGGGTAAAATATGATATGGTTTGTCGTAAGAGGTTATAGGTCATAGAGTTTAATAAACTCTAAATCAAACTTATGTATCAAAAATATATTACCCTACATTTGCAAATTTGCTCAGTTTTGTAGCTAATCGATTAATATAAAGTAATGAGTTTATATTCCTAAAAAGCTAAAGCTCTCCTCTCATCTCTCACTCTCACATCGATCGGATCGGATCGGATGAGATCGGATCAGCTTAAGTGAAATGAAGTGAAGCGAAGAAATGAGTAATGTTGCAACCAGATGGCAACTTTTATGTTTATTCCATTTTTCAATCCCAATCCTATCACTTCATTCCCATACTGCTCCAAATTAAATTGATGAGGAAAGAAGATCGAATTCATTGTCATTC